TCGGAATGCGATATCAGCAATAAGAGTACCACTAGATGCTCGAGATAAATTGAGGCAGCAAGATGTTGAAAGTTCATGTAATTTACCGTAACTGATCTCTTTGAAGGTAATGGCTACAATACATTCGCGATATAGCATCTGTGATTCAACATTTTCGGGACGATGCTAGTCAAGCAAGTCTATGAATCGAAATTTGTTTCAAGTCATTCAAATGACACCCTTTGGTCATCTTAGCAGAATCTCCATGCCTAAATTTTACCTCACAAACAAACAATATTTTATACTGCCGGAAGGCAATTTGAGGAGTATGTGAACATGCAATTGATGAAATTCCCTTTGGATTTGTTAACATGGTGGTCAAAGATTTCGGCGGCAAAAATATCGGGTTAATGCATGATTTCTGCACCAAAATTTTGAAATTCTTTACTCCATCCAGCTCCAATGAAACCTGGTTTAATCCATCATAGAAGGAACAAATCTCGCACTTTCTGAAACTGCTCTATTCAAAATTCTTTGAAAGCATACGTTATTGATATAAGGTGATTAACAGAAAAAAAGTGGTTATCCAAAAAGTGATTATTATTTTATTTTTAGCCACTAAAATTGTTAAGACGTCTACTGAAATTCAAATTTGTATTTAATCTTAGCTTTATGACATACTCTTTCAAGCAAGAGGAGTTGGTAGTAAATGGTTGTCTCTGTAAATAGATACAAATTTTGATTTCTTGAAGTTGACTCGCTGATTTTGTTTCGTATTGATTTTCTAAATAGTGCTCTAAAATACTACTTTTGATATACAGGGTGCGCCAGAATTATTTGCGCGTGTATTCTGCAACGCAAAACTCGTGCAAGACGAGATCAGCGATAGGCAAAAAGCTATTTTGTTTCAGTAAAGTTTTATCATTAAGAGCCTATAGCATGAGTTGGAGTTTTTAAGTGTGGCTTGAGAAAAATCAGAAAATATCTTACTGATTGGGTTGCGCGCAGCACGTAGGTAATTTTTCAGAGAATCTTCTGCTTTTTCATAGGAAAATGCTCCTGTGATGCAAGGAACACACCACATGAAAGAGCAAGATTTCGGCTGCAACATACTGCAAGCGCAAAATCTAGAATGGTCTGACAAGAAAATTATCGACGTTTAAACAAAGTCATGTGTTTGCTACATGCTCAAAAACTGCACATTTTAGGGCTGCGAATGAGCGGAAAAAAAGCAGAAATTGACTCCAAATGAGGTTGGAGTTCAATTTCATCAGTGGAAAAGAAATAAGTATTTATCTAAAAGCTTTGTGAAAGCACTATAGCATTGAATCCGGTGACAGGCACGTTTCTGTAGCTTACAAATGTGATTTGAAAACAAAACGGCCACTGACACGCGGGTGGCATTTACATACTTTTTGTTGCCATTTTTGGAAGAATAATTGTTGGCGAACGCCAGTACCACGATTCGATAGCGCAAAGCCTCCTCTACACTGTGGACATAAAATCCCTTGAAAATGTCTCAAGAATCTCCAGTTACGGAATGAATTATGACCACCAAAAAATTAGGTTTTTGCGCCTTCTAGAAGTATAAGTACGACAATTTCATTATTTGCACAAAGGTATGTCAATCGCCCTGGGCTCATAAAGCGTTGTTTTGTAGAGGATGATTGCAGCATTCTACCACATAAATTTTGAAATCAAAACTATGAGTAGTTTCTTTGCAGCACTCATGCAAAGTTGACGCAAATATTTTTGGCGCACCCTGTACATAACGATAAGCATGTTCTGAGATTGATCAATTCGTCTAAGCATTTTCGAAACATTTTTTTTTATTTCTGGTGTAAAATTATGCATCAACCTAATTCGTGTGGCTTTGAACGAATACGATCAGGTGATATGAGTAGACCGCGAACAGTTCGGGTATTTAATCACGGGCTATCTTCGAAACTATAGCCAACAATCGAGCGTTTACAAACGTTTCCATCATTCTCTTGATGAACAAAAGTGACTGAAAGAGAAATTGCCTAAGTCGGACATTCTGCAATACATCAGCTTCACTACGATCACATGTCGTACAGACGTGCATTCTTTTTGATCTACAAAGTCGATGTAACTTTATGGAAAGATTGCGCTCGTCCGTTTTTCTATCATTTTGTGGCTGCGATTAACACAGAAAATATAAGACTGTATTTGTTGTTGTTAGAGACACAAATTTGCATCAAAATCTCAAATCACTCGTGATGCAGCTATATGCCTGGTATATGCTTGGTTGGTACAGGCTACAAGCATAACCGATGCTGGTAGGCTGTACCAAGCAGCATCGGTTATGCAACGTCGCGGCTGCGGCGACTTGCAACAATGCGGTTTGGGTTGCTTCATACTGCAGTCGCTGCAGCAACGACTGTCGATCGGTATCTTTTGCCCGCCTCAATATGACTGCAGCTGCTGCAGCGACTGCAGTATGAAACAACTCTTTGACGCGTGCGAACACTGCTACGCGTCAAGGCAGTCGCATGCGACCGTGCGTCCTTTGGGTTCCTTCATACTGCGCCGCGCGCGCGGCGTACGCCGCGTACGCCGCTGCAGCGCAATGGAATGTCATTATTTGACTCTGATTTCCTTTTTCTTGCCGGTCTGGTCACTCTGTATCTATTTTAGGGAGTGCGGAGCACACGTTAGACTTTCTCATTGACTGCTGGATCAACTTGTCACGCAGCAACTCTTACTTTGAGCATGTGTTTCCTCGATCGCTGTTTTTTCTCCGTCAGCAACGTCAGGAACATCTCGGAGATTATAATTCTTGTCGCAAACAGTAGCGGTGACAGGGATGGTCCCGTAATCTTCTTGTAGAAATCGTTTTCCCATTTGTCATTGCTCATTATTCATTATGCAGTGTCAGTGATGCACGTAGATGTTATTTCAATTTGGCAGATGTAAATATATTTGAAAGTAAAACGCCTAAAACGTGTAATAGTAAACATCACTTTCACTGAAGCCTACTGTTTTGATTTAGTGAACTCGTAAAGGCAATTTTACCAAACGGTACAATCATCATGGTTGATCTAACTCTGTTTTCTGCGTAGTTATTGATCATTACTACTTTTTTTCAAGTCTTGCCCGGTGAAATAAACAATAGTGTGGCGAAAACGAAAAACTTTTCTCTTTTTTCCTTCTCAAATGAATATAAATCAACGGCAAATCAACAAAGAGTGATGAAGTAAAAGAGACCGAAAAGAACGCGGGCGAGAGCCGCTTCGAACATGGAAGAGAAGAAAACGTTGAATGTTAAAGTGCAGCGATTTCTTTCACTTAAAAAGTTGCCGAAAACTCGTGTGTTCCACCTATTTGCTGCATGCTTTTGTATTGGTTCTGCCAAATTGTGACTAGAGACAATGCAAGGAACTAGAAAATCAATTATTCATTTGATGTGAGACCGCAGTACACAGATAGAATCTGATAGAAGAATAGTGTAATCGAATGTACTGTAAATGCCCACTTCATTTACATGCGTATTCAAATCTGTATTGACGCCTGACTATGAGATTGTCGCTTTCCTTCTTTTGCCTTCAGAATCAAATCACGACACTGTTAAGTTGAAATTTATCTCCTAGATGGTAAGTTGCGTTCACACTCATTACGAAAACCCCAGTCACTATGTCTCAATAGTGATAAAATAATGATATCAAATAACATGAAGAGGTAATTGTCTTTACAGACACATAGGCGATAGAAGCAACGGATAGGACTTACATAGCATACAGGCTCAAGTAAAAATTTACAACAAAACTTAGATGACATGAATGGAAGAGGAAATCTGTGAAACTAGCCACGTCATCATCTTTTCTTATTGATTGCCTCGATTCGCTCCGAATTGGAGGATGTGAGTGGTTGCACATAGAGTACAGAGGGTCAATAGGTAGCGAAGGTTGTCCTAAAATTATTAGTTTAGAATTTATCAGCTGACGGCTGAGTTCTTTTTTCTATTATTGCTGAGAAATCGGCCTACCTTGCCTAGCTTCGTCAAAGATGAAATCAGTTTATCTCCATACCCCAATTTGACCGCATATTCATCAGCACCATACTCACATCGTCGTGAATGGATAGACATGAGCACTTCAGCGATCTACAATGAGCAAACGGACTTGAGAAAAATCGTGTACTCTGTATTTAAAATAAAGAATACCTGGATATAGTCCCATAACGTACTGGAAAACCAACATCAGACCGACCAAGGTAGGAGTGGTGAAAACCGAAAGCCTGCAAATAACCTCAGATTCCTGTTGAAAATAATCGTCTCACCATTAACATCAGCTTCATCAGCACTAGGGTTTGCTTTATAAAGAGTCTATTCAGTCGAATGTTCTTGGCCATTAGGTTTTGTGAAAACTACGCATTTTCAAGGTTGTGAATGAAAGAGCTATTGGTAAAATCAGTTACGGCACTTTAGTATTAGGTTGTTACATAAGTTTTGTTACACTTTTTTCGTCTTCCTCTGGAAAACTCTAGAAAAATCGGCGAGATCTCATATTTGGCCTATATGGAGAAAAGATAAAGGGCTATCCGCTGGCACCATTTAAGCTCTCACCACATGACTTACAATAAATATAAAGCCAACTTTATAGAGGCACTCCAACCTCCAATTTTTTCTTTATTTTTTTAACCTCTTAACCTTCTTTTCCAACTTTTTAGATTTTTTTATGAACTTCTAGGAGCATTTGTAGGTAGTAAGTACTGGGCAGTGGAGGTTCAAGCTCTTCAATATCAAAATTGGAAATTTGCCAAAAACATGTGACATGTATATATCAAAATTCTGCTACATTACACATAGTTTGGAGATAAGGAAAAATCATTTGACAAAGTTACGAGGATTTTTTCAGTTGAGTGTAGCAAAACTTATGTAACAACCCTAATATAACTGAATGGCTAACGCTGGACGCGCTTAGGAACTACATGAGAAACAACTGCTGCAAGATGTGAACTCAATTTCAGCATAAATCAAACTTGACATGCTTGACAGATACCTGGAAGAGCAGTTTCCAGCGATAGAAGTACGCGAACACGGTGAGCATCAGCAGAATATTGAGCTCAGCTATTATCGGATTTATCATCGTATGCCATAATGCCCAATGTCTTAGCTCATGTCCGAGCACAGCCACCACCTCATCATTGGACATTGCTCGGGCCTGAACAGTACATGTCTACTTACGATAAGAATATCCCAAAACAACCTTGTCCTTATCGTTCATCTCATCAGCTGCTTCGGCACATTCTTTGATCACCTTCTCCTTTCCTTCCCCACTCAACAAAGTGTCGTAAAGCACAATTCGTTTGTTATTCCAGAAACCGTACATGTACGCAATGCTGTGGGCAGAGCGTTTGGAACCTAAATCATAACAGCTCTATAATATAACATTTCAGGGTTCGAGAACCTAACACGTACCATACACAACGTAAAGTTTAGTCAAAGGAAAATCAACCGAAGCTGCGAGTTTCTTTATTGCGACCTGTAAAGGAGCATTTTGATACATGCAAACCATTATATTTTGATGATGCAGTCGACGAAAAAGCCACTGATCCTTTGAAAAGCTTACCTTTAGTTCTCCGTTAGGCAATGGGATATATTTATCAAACAATGGTGCAATGAAGGCTGGATAGATGCCTCCGTCATTGCCGATAGATTCTGGATGTTTCGTCATTTCTTTAACATCTGTTCAACTGTGTTTTTCTTCATAGGTGATAATGATTTTATTGCGAATTGGCTCACCATTGATAAAGTCTATATATACGGTTTTCAAGAAAAACGCAAGCGCAAAACACAAATAGTAATATAGCACCATGTGGAAACCATCTTCCCAGTTTTGGGAAGATTAAAGCAAAATGTTGTACAAAGTGAGTTGGGCAATGTAGTGGAAAAAAAAGAATACATCGAGGTAACTATTATCATGAGAAACCACGGAGTAGATATCCATGCTTGCCGTGACGCAGAGTTTGCCCGCTAAGTGATGTAATCTGCTATATATGGAAGAACAGTTAAAATATGAGTTATATAAAAGCGATGTTTTTGTCATGAGAAAAAAGAAAAAGGATTTGAGCATAGATAGAGAGGCTATGAATCTTCTGTACAATTTTTTACATCATTGTTTACAAATAAGAATCTAAAAAAGCCATCACTTCATCTCTGCAAGTATGCTTCTGCAAAATACTGTGTGAGACGATTTCCGCTGTATGAGCTGTCTCTACGCCAGCGTGTGCAGCTGCTGCACCTGTCTCGTCTCTCTGAAGAGGGTCGTAAGAATTGCGTGGCGCCGGTCCGAATCTTCGCCTTCCTGCCAAAACATCTTGTCTGCGGGGCAGCAAATTGTGGAGAATCTGTGAGACTGAGATTCTCCATGGCATAGACGAAGAGAGGACTACCATCAAAGAGACGACAAGACGCTGGGCTTGTATAGGGTCTAGATTTATGCGATTCATCAATACTTGGAATCGCTGAGCCATCAGGCCAAAGGTCGCTTCAATCATTTGTCGAGCCCTGAAGTGTTACGCGGATAGTTTTTGAATTAGCTTGACATGCTATAGCTTTACCCGCTCAGTTTCCGATTGAACAGCCTTTTATCCCTTGTGGTAGCTTCCCTCTCTGTATACTGCCTAATAAACCTGAGTCCTTGTCCAAAACCACCGTTTACTACGATATGGTACTGGACGGGACCGACGGTACCGAGGTCCTCTGTTGGTGGAAATATACCGTCGTGGGTATCCAGAAACCTCTGTAAACCTTCTTGATATAAAACACCAAACTTTTGATTACGAAATGGACCTTGAGCTCCGAGGAGCGAAATACTCCAGCATCGCCGAGGCGGCCTGGAGATCCCACATCATAGGCCATGATGCGGTTTTCGCAGTCGCATAGAGCCAATAGATGATGGAGTGGCAGTGTTGGTAGTTATAGTATGCGCTGCCCGAGTGCTTAGGCTTCTAGATGGCATTTTTCAGAGGTGTTAAAAGTTGCTTATGAAGTAAAACCTTGTGGATATGTTTTCCATCAAGAAATCCTACTGCTCTTGGGTAATCAAACCTTTCCTGCGTCATCTCTGCAACCTGCCTCAGTTTACCACGTGTCAGGCGGGGAAAAGCTCGTCTATGCAGCACTGAATTTGTGAAGTTGCTGGAGTATTAGTAAGGGAGGTTAAAACCTTCAAGCCTATACCACTTAGAATTGCCTCGGTAACCTCCCTTACTATAGCTGCAGCTGTCGAGACCCCCATTCCAATGTCTAAAGCAAATGCGGAAAAAGACATCCCTTGTGTGACATATCTGAATATACTATGTTAACTGCGAAGTAGCCATGAGTCGTAGAGTACCGACTCCTCACCTGAGATAAATCATTAGCCTATGTCGTCCACTTATGGGGCCGGCGTGTGTGCTTAAATGCTCCAAACGACCACCAAGACTTTCATAGAGGTCCTCGAACTCGTCAGGGAGAAGTTTGATAAATTGCAAAAACGCCCGAGGTCTCCGGGTGATCAAGTACTCGTCAAAAATCCGAAAACGAGTCCTGAGGAAGGGGACATGTTCTCGACGCACGTATTCTCGCCGAGGACGGTTGGACTGGGACGGAGACGGCGATGAACTTTCATCTAATGCATCGTATAGAAATTGCAGGCTTTGGAGAGGATTTGAGAGTACTGGGAGACTCATCTGCAATACACAAATCTTCAAGAGTATTTTGATAGCGCACATTGGCGAAAGCGAGCTACCATAGTTGGAACGAGCATTTCTTAACCGATTTCGACGGCAAGTAAGGATGAGTGAATACATCTGGAGGCAGCGTTTGCTGATGAAGGGGCAGTAAATGGAGACCGCATAGGACGACATGGACAGGGTGGGGGATATGGGGGATAAAGTAAGAACTGCGCTACAAGCGACCAGCAAGGAAAAAGGTACCCGCTGCTTCTCCTTCCGCACACCAAAGGATTCACATTACCACAGGTATGTAGAAACAGTTACTGGCAGAGAAGAAGCAAGCGCCTCTTATGGCAGAGCCATAAGAGAGGCAATAGGGGCCATGGCGAAGGAATTATCATGAAAAACGAAAAAGAAGAAGCATGAATAGTTCCATAGGAATCAGTGCAACTGAACACAACATTCAGATATTATACGATACGATATCATACGATATCATCATGTAATCCTCAAAATGATGATAGCCCATTAGCGATAAGAAAGCCGCAGCAAGTATAGAACGTGCCCTGATGCTATTCTGGACAAGATTATTCAATTTTTCAGTCTACAGCGGTATTAACAATATCCATCAAACGACGTTCCACAGCATCAGAAGGCAATTCCTCACGGGATATAACCTCGTTGACGTATCTACAGAAAGAAAATGATACTTGCGAAAAGGTCACAAGAGATGAATCCAGCTGCAAACATGGCAAAAAGCATCAAGAAAACAAAACTTACTCTAGCAATCTTTCCAGCCATTCGATTATCTGACCTATGCTCCTTTCAAGCTGTTCCAAACCACTTTCCATGGTGACTTCCCTACGTCGAGAGCCAAGCGCATTCTATGACAGATCTCATGAGAATTACTTATGAAAGCATTACCAATCAAGAAGATGATAGCTAGAAAGAATGGCAAGATGAATCATACCTCAATTGAATCGTGAATTTTCGGGTACATCGTAATCCAATCATAACGACCGGAGTAATAGGCTCTTGTAAACGCAGACATCCGCTCAAGTAAGAAATCTACCGATCTAGTCCTGAATGACAAAGATACTTCAGTGTAACAAAGAATAAACAGATGCAGATGGAGCAGTATTTAAAAAAACTGACAGGGTATTGACTAGACATTTATCCGCTTTATAACATCTGATATTGCATAAATGAGCAAGAAGCTAGTGAAAAGAGATAGATCGAACAGCAAACCTTTAAGTACAACAGATGATGATGTGCTATCAAGACCACTGGCTCGTATTATGAAAAGGCGTGATTCGATCAGCAACAGATCGAGCGAAGATTTGTCGCGTGCTGAAAACTATCAGTATGTTAGCTGTATTTATTATGAAAGTTAAAATGTCAGCATAGCTAGAGGCCCAAAAGATATTCCCGAACGGCCGTGTCCTCCTCAAATGAAACCATTGATAACCAACAAGGATAAATCGTAGAAACTACTTTGAAGCAATCTTAGAAATCAAATCAAAATAACATTAAGCAGAACCACTCACCAAGAATGCGAAGAAATTCAAGAATTGGAGCTATAAGAGGCTGACAGAGGACTGCGATGCGAAAGCAACTTTCAAATGCACACTAGTGAAACATCTGAAGTGAATTGACCAATGCAGATTAATTAACAACAACAAAACTTCGACACGCGGCTGAGAACCGGTTGTTGAAAAAATCAAAGCAAAGGAGTCACAGTTTATTCGGTTTATAACAGTTTATAACACCGGCTTCATATCGCTCCAGAATCCTGTAGGTAGAATCAGAAGAAAACAAAAAAAGCTTCACAGATGAGGCCACAGATTGTGAAATCATAATACTCGACATAACAAAGAAACAGAGAAAGAAAGCACTGCAAAAATGAGATCTAATCTTAGTACCGGCACAACAAATACTGGATAGATTCCTCTTGTGCAACCGGCGGCACAACAGCGACGTCTTCCATATACCTTCTATCATAAGCTGGTGGTCCAGTCTCGCGATATGCGTCCTCCGGCGGGTTGATCGGATTGATAGCCACCTCCAGAATGGCGAGCATTTTTGCCCTGGCTTCTTGTATAGGCTCTTTCTTCAACATTTGTGCTATGCACGCACCTAAAAAGAAACTGTAGATGTCATAACGTTACAAAGAATGACGCCTACGCCTACCGAAGTACATAAATTCATCCTCAGCGGACAGTTCTGCCATGCGGCTCTTAACTGCATCCATGGCTTGGGTAACGGCTGCTCTTTCTGAAAATAAAATTGAAAAGCAAAATACTGCATTTTACGAGAGGACCCACTTACCGGTGCTCCTCGAATTCGTTGGAGTCGATTCTGCAAAACTCTCTTCTTCCGTGGAATAGGAGACTCACTCCTCGGTTCCGCATCGCCCCCCCTCCTGCTGTCTTCAATGTTCTTTGAAGTGGATGGTCCCAGTGGTGACTTTCTCGTCCATTCATCTTTTTTTCGCCCAAGCAAGGCAGGTGATGGCGGCTCTAAGAAGACTGGATTAGCAGGGAATAAGGTAAAATACTCTCACCATTTTCATCAGTGAGATCTATGTCATCGTCCTCGTCAGCTATATTCGTCATTCTGGGCCTGAAAGAATGTTTGTAATTTGAGTTTTGGGAACCTGAAAAAAGATTACCCTGAGACGTGGGATGTATTTAAAAAAGAAAGACTTCGACTCATTCCGTGGATCGGCCTTGCTGCAGACCCTGCTCGTGCTGCCGATCCAGTTTGTGGTCGAGGTCGCTCTCTGTTGTGGGCGTCCCGCATAGATTTCCATTCCTTTTTCAATTGTGGCACTATAATGAAAAGATGTTTCTGCACTTCCGTACTAATGCTATGAACTCACCTACACAATCGTAACCCAATTCGCAAAGCCGATCACAAATTCGATCCCATGCGGCGTTCTTTCTGTCTTTTCGATAATAATCTTTATGATTCACATCCCAAATAACGGGCTCATTTTCGATCTCCTCGGCCAGCAAGTCACGCCAACCTACACTCATCTGAAAATAACACTTATGTTACTGCGGAGACGGTGTGAGGAAATGGCGGAGCTGTGACGAATGTGCAGTAACGATACAAAATTTGAAACTCGAAAGTAGAGGGAGCACAACATATCTACAACATTATATAGAGTTTCCTACGAATTAGATATTATATCAAGATCGAGAAACACATTTTTGGCATCTACTGAGCTGCAAGGTTTGAAGGTTTTGAGAATGTAGCTCTTCGGAAGACTCAAATGCCAGTTTGCAGCGATAAGTATAGAAGAGCTTTGCTAAAGGTTTTACGATACTAGTGGATGGAATTTTACCTTTAGTACAAACTTCTGAGATTGAGATCGAATTCCGTTTAGTTATGTAATAAAAGAGAGAATTGAAGAGCGAAAACTTTTCAGCAAAGAGTGTGAAAATTTGCGGTACTGATATAGAGATATCATACCAGAGAGATCTTTATCTCTCTCCTGATTTCTAGTAAGTTTTATTAACCCTAATTTGAGCTGAGCTATATATGACCTTCCTATTCGAAGAATTAAAGATTCAAGGACGATCAAAATGGTGGCATACAAGGAAACAAATATAAATAACTCGAGCATGCTTACGATATCCGTATGCAGTTGTACAAAAAGGAAAGTAACAAACCTCTTCAAATTTGCTGATTGATTGGGCTACACGAATACTGCATATGCTTGTATGTACGTGCCGCAGCTGGACGCTGGAGACGTGTGTGAATTAAAAGTGCGTTGCTTCACAAACGACACAAGGTAGCGCTCAAATATAAATAACTCGAGCATACTTACGATATCCCTACTGCAGTTGTACAAAAAGGAAAGTAACAAACCTCTTCAAACTTGCTGATTGACTGGGCTAGACGAATATTGCATATGCTTGTACGTGCCGCAGCTGGACGCTGGAGACGTGTGTGAATTGAATGGCGTTGCTTCACGAACGACACAAGGTAGCGCTCAAATATAAATAACTCGAGCATACTTACGATATCCGTACTGCAATTGTACAAAAAGGAAAGTAACAAACCTCTTCAAATTTGCTGATTGACTGGGCTAGACATACTGCATAGGCTTGTACGTGCCGCAGCTGGACGCTGGAGACGTATGTGAATGAATGTGCGTTGCTCTACGAACGACACAAGGTAGCGCTACCGATGTATGATGAATGAACGTACAGCAATCCTATAACAAAAGATTCCAAAGATGAACGAGTGCATTCGCGGGAGAACACGTTCAAGTGCACTGATACGAAGCAGCCGATGGCAACTGAATGTTTACAACGTTTACAATGTTTACAATGTACATCACTGACACTGCATAATGAATAATGAGCAATGACAAATGGGAAAACGATTTCTACAAGAAGATTAGGGACCACTCCTGTCACCGCTACTGTTTGCGACAAGAATTATAATCTCCGAGATGTTCCTGACGTTGCTGACGGAGAAAAAACAGCGATCGAGAAACACATGCTCAAAGTAGGAGTTGCTGCGTGACAAGTTGATCCAGCAGTCAATGAGAAAGTCTAACGTGTGCTCCGCACTCCCTAAAATAGATACAGAGTGACCAGACCGACAAGAAAAAGGAAATCAGAGTCAAATAATGACATTCCATTGCGCTGCAGCGGCGTACGCGGCGTACGCCGCGCGCGCGGCACAGTATGAAGGAACCCTTTCAATGTATGCCAGCGCGGGACCGATGCTGGCTGCAAGCTTATATATGTTTTCATGATTATGTTTAGATGTATGATTGAAGAACTAACAACAAGTTTGGAATTTGAAGAAAAATAATTTATGTGAATAATGAATTTGCGCGTTTGGGTAATACCGGTAATCAGAGCCCACAGAACCTTTCAAAAAGTATGGTTAACAAGGTACGCTTCCTCATCCGAAAACTTTTTATGTGCTGCCACTGAAGAAAATTCAATGCATTGTGCTTCAAACTTTCGAACAGTTTTAAATGAAGGTAATCTTCGAACTGTCATCCTTTTTCCTTGTATTACATGTGACTGTTAGTTTATTTTTTCCCTATATATTTGTTTCGTCTTTTCAATGTCTTTTCATTGCAACTGTCAGTCCACTTTACTCTTTTGCAATTCACGGCTTTAACTTCTCGTGCAGCTCGGCCTTTCAGAAAGATACATATATGTTTTGAATCAGATTAGCGCTAACTCCAGATATGCTGTTGCGGCTCGGTGTGCTCAGCACTCCTCGCCTTAGTGCTCGTCCGCCTGACAACACAACTCCGAACTCCAGGATGTTCCACTTCTGCGCTAGCGTGCGCACTACCTAGCGCGTCCGCTCGACGCCTACACCCCTACCCGTACAAACAGACGATCACAAACGCGACTAGATTAAATCACATTTACTAAAACATAAGAGCAAAACATAAAAACCTAAAACTACTAAAAAGACTACTACTACTACTACTACTACTAGAGAAAGAAAATGGGCACGGGAGCCGCTTCGCCCCGTGCTGCCGATGCTCCGAGAAGATCATCTCCAACATGTAGTTCCGGGTCCTCCATTGGGTCAACCGCAAGCCCCTGGCCCATACGGGACGGCGTGACCCCTCTCCACTCCTGCAATCCTTTCCTTCTGCGCGATAAACCATGATACTAAGCTGCTTGTCTCCAAACACAAGAAGATCGACAAGGGCTTAACCGCTCGAAACCGATGATCATCTGCGGGAGCTACTGGAGGCGCTGCCAGCATGGTAATATCATCAAACGATCGATAACGAACGAAACTCGAAGAGGCGTAGACCGCGGCCTGCGCGTCCTTATATACCCTGTGACTTGGCAACGCGCCCAGTAAGGGAGAGGTCTTGGCGCGAAATTGATAGCGCGCCAAGTATCGCGATAGCCAGCGCTCGCTTGCATCGCGCGAGCCGCGACATAAGCTATTCGCAGCTGCGGCGCATCAGCCCGAAGCGAGTCATATTTTTTCTATGCGCAGAATTTGCATACTCATTGACTTACTGGCATCACAGCATCTCATTCACTGATTTACTTGCCTAAGGCTTCTTTTTAGTAAAAAAAATTGGATGATGTTGTTTCGGTATCTCAGCGCCTTCTTGCGAATCTTTACCTACAGGCGCTCTTCCCATATTCAGTAGTATGCCTTCCGACTAGTCGAAAATCCATAACTCTTTCCAAAATGGTGCGCCGCAGCTAGGAATAGCAAACTTAGAATCAGCTTTTGAAGCTGATTCAGAATATGCATGTCCTTTTTCAGAAGTCTTGGCTAATTTAGGTAGCTTCCCTCATGAGATATCCAGTGTCAAAGTCTCAAACACCACATCGAACACCTTACGCTAGCGCGTAAACTTTTGCTTGATTTTTTGTGTGACCTTTGGTTGATTACAACCGATCAAATATGAAGTTTTTTCTCTCAAATTTTCTTGAAGTTAACTGTGCCATTTGATACGTACTTTAATTTTGACAAGCTCTTCTAAATTAGCAGTATGCCTCCGGCCTTCTTGCATTCTGGCTGCGAGCTCTGGTACTGCTTCAAAACTTTGTCTTTGTGTGTGTCACTAAACATTCTTTAATAGCAGCGATCAAAACTTCACACTTTCCACTTTCTTGTTCTCTGTGCTTTGTTTCACTCTTCAGCGTCTCAACCGAATCCTGGCACTTTCTCGTCATCAAATCTTTTTTCTGCACGTTATGGACAGTAATATCTTTCCATGCGGAGATTTTCCATTTCTTCGTAATTTTACAAGTTTATTTTGCTCTCTTTTACGCCCCTGATTGCAATCTCGAAGTTTCTTTCAGCGGCCAAAGTGGACATAATTTTTACAAAACCCAGACATTTTGTGTGACAAGGTCTCACTAGTTTCCTCACAACTATGTCGAAAGTTTCAGGTTTCTACTTCAGCCAAAAGAATGTTTCTGGTTGAGATGTTCTCTTTAGATAAAATCTATACCGATTCAAAGAGCATTGAAAGCTTTGATTCTTTTCACGGTATTCGCTACGGCTCTAAATGTCAAGTTATAAGTGTTTTCTACTCAAAAAACTGAAAGGGTACTGTGACTCATTCAAAAGCTCCTGAATAGACCAAAATTGATATCAGGTCGCACTTCATAGAACACATGTTCCGCGTATATACCCAAGCTCACCCACGCGTATAAGGCTCAGGAGAATTTTTCAAAAATCGACCAGCTCAGATACGCCAAAGGACTTTACAACCAAAGGACCCTAACGTGCTGTTTATTGCTTGAGAGAATCATGCGATGTAAAAATTTCTTTCCGGGATGCAATGAACTGGCTGAGCGGATCGCTTGAAAATTCGAAAAAGTGCTCCTTATACGCTTGAAATTAGGGTAATACACAGTCTAGATTAAAGCTTTGATATTTGTTGATTTTCACTACTGCCAGTTATTACATCGTAAAATATAACAAAATAATTTGGTATTTGTTTGACGTTTATCGCTTTGCATTTTTATTCGAGGCAATATTTCTTTGCTAAACTTTGTCCGAAATATTCCCGGTCACTTGCATGCTTTTCAGTCATAGTCGTCTGGAAGGGGGGGGGTGGAGTATGGTCAGCAGCGGAGGGGTGGAGGACCATATGTTGACCAAAGTGGGTGGTCCCATGCGGACAAAGTTCGCAGCTCCACACGCTAAAGGCAAAAAAGGTTTGTACCGGCTGTCCGCGCGAGGTGGAGCCTATCGGCGACATATAGTATAGTCCCCTATCCGCAGCGAAGTCGTATCTTCCATCATTTTATCCTTGATTTATAATCATAAAAAATCACAGCAAATGCTTAAGATTTATGTGAAATTCGACGAAAGCTTGCTAATTTCAATATTTCAAATTCTGGCTTAATTTACTCTTATTTAGAGATGTACATGAGTCATTTTTAATATAAAGTCGCAAGACCTCCAAATTTGTACCCAATTTTGGATGACAGATTTCCGTACAAGAGATCCCAGGAATCTCCATCATCAAGCAGGT